TAGTATAAACCTACTAGCGTTCTATCACGAATGCCGAGCTCTTATTGGCTACGCTACTCACTATCTATTCTGTTGTAGATACTGACAAGCCTAGCAGTGTGCGGTTGTTAACAAAATGGCGGCGGCCTCTTTGCGTTTCGAAGTGCCTATGAAGAGGATTTAGATAAAGTTTTGAACGACTAATAGATTTATACTAAAACAATTCGATTATTCGCTCTCGATTTCTATGCGTGATAGAAATCTCGAGTTCATAATGTAATTGTTAATTAGACTCGTCTGGTGAATTAAATTCGTCCAACACGTTTTATCTGTGTTCGTAAGAAGGTCGAGAGAGCGTGTTCAGCTTTAACGTTGCACAAAGAACGCATCGAATTAAATTCATACACTATTTTAATGCATCGCAAATCGATTTTAATGCATCTGCATTAGAAGATACAAAGTATATTGCATGTGCCCAAGTTCATTTTGCTCCCCTTTCACGAAGTCACTTCAGTCGAAATGGAGTAAAACTTTACCGTCTTCCTCCAATGATAGTATAGGAGAAACCAAATATTGGCGTATAACTTGCACGTGAAACACCTGCGTTCGATTGCCAAAGAAAGCTCGGTATTGCCTCGAGTGGGCTGCTTCCGAGGCTGCTTGAGGCAAATCATGAAAGGAAGCCGAAGACCACAGTGATGCAGCTGGTCAGGACTAAAATGACTCGATTTATAGTTCTGCCAGGAATAGTGAATAATCGACGAAATTTAATTCGAAATTAAATGGGTCTTGTTGACAATCTGTGGAAGAGTGGAACAATTATCCTGTTCGATCTTGAGGAATATCAACTGATTTTAACAACCTCTGCCCAAGGCCTCTTTGGCAAGGTATCAGGCTATCAGATATTTCTCGCGAACTCGCGGGATAATTGTTAAATATTCACTGACCCTAGGCCTGTAGTAAATTGTTTTAGTATATTAATTTAGCATGTTGAATATTATCAACTTTAGAAATAATTTGCACACATGTTCACCATAGTTACATCGATTGATAATCATTTTTTGCATCTTGTCAATTTGATACATGTAAAGACAATGAAAAAGGCAATCGTCGGGTACCTTTGTTTAGGTTTTGCTGGCTTCATGGGTAATTATAACGTAGCCCTAGAAATAAGCAACACTGGTCAGAAGAGAAGTACATCTCACCCCTCGATCCAGGACAGGTTGTCATGGTTACCAATCCACAAAACTGCCGCCTGTGCTTGAAACACCTTGAATAGCATCTAACCCAAATATTTTGGAGATTATTTCCCTAAATTCCGAAGCTTTAGGGATATGAGCATGAAAGACATTTTCGGACTTCATGTTACGCCAAAAACTGAAGCAACAAACGTTAATATGTCATCACCTGTCCTTTCTACGCCATGCGACAAATTAAGCCGCTACAATATTCCCCCAACGAACAAACGAAAACAACGTTCTTGTACAGCATGTCCTAAGGCACGAATCATTAGTAACACCTGTCAGTCACAGTCGAAAATGTCATAAATCACAGACTTTAGGAAACCACTTATTTGCTATTCATCGTAGATTCTCCAACTAGATTGGCAACGTTGACACCGGTGTTTTTGCTGTCAAATGACTTGTCATGACCAAGTTGGTCAACCGCAATTTAAGAATAGTAATATAACTTAAGCTTTATTGGTGATCGCGTATGGAACAGGTTGTTACATTTTGCGCGTCAAAGAAATTGTCCCATTTGCGTCAGAGGTTCTACATTTGGCGTTAATGTTACAATTTGTGGCGTTATACTCCATGTTAGCTTGCTAGCACAGTAAATGTTGCTTAGCTTAGCAACCACTCCTTAAAATTCTATTTAACAAATTGACGCCAGTTTTTCATGTGTCTGTCCTTTTCTTGAGCCAATAACAAGGGTTGACTTTCGCCAGGTAAATAAATAAATGATAAATTAAAGTGAAGACAAAATGTATATTATTTGATAATTCTAACGTTTGTATTATTTTTCTTTCAAGATGATTAAGTGTTGGCATTACTAGCGGACAGGACATACGCGTCAAATAGAAATTGTAGTATTAAACCACACATTAGTTAGTTGCAAACAAACTCTCACAGGAGGTCACAAACTAACCAAAACCCATTTCATTTACTTCAGACATAGAAGAATGTACAACAGACACAGACAACTGTCACGTGAATGCCAACTGTACAAACACCAAGGGATCATTCTACTGCACGTGTCATGAAGGATACTCTGGAGATGGAGTCATGTGTGATGGTACCGTAATGTAACGTTTTGAGTTTGCTGAAGTAGGCGTGGTATACATATTTATTAAAAACAGATCTTTGGATAATGGCTTAGCCATCATGAGCTATGAGCCATTACACCGTGCCCTACAAATATGGTACAAGTATGTGTGAGTTTTGGGGGCGTTCTTATTTTGATTTTATTTTAGTTTTTTTATATTTTGAGGGCGTTTTTAATAAAACAATTATTCCACTCGCGCTTGTTGGAGATGACATGATTATAGCCAACTCGGCGCTACGCGCCTCGTGTACTATCTACCATCTCGTGCAAATTTCTAGTGAATGTAAATTACTCGTTCTGCAAACTGTTCCTCTCCACTTTGAAGTCACAATCACATTTCTTTGCTTCCAGACATTAATGAGTGTTTTCCTGGTCTGATATCTGATGAATATCGCGATCTTGCTCACAACTGTCATGATGACGCAAACTGCACCAACACCAAAGGATCATTCTACTGCACGTGTCATACGGGGTACTCTGGAGATGGAGTCACGTGTGTTGGTAAAGTATTTTGTTTTACGACGTTGTAACATCAAGTCGTTGTTATCAACGTAATTGAGTCTTTCACATATTCCAAGCAAATTTAAATTTGAAATCGACTAATTTGTTAATGACTAATTTATAGCGCTGAAAGCTGGAATGAATGCGTAGTTGTGTTATTACCTCGATGCTTTTAGATGTGGACGAGTGTTCTCCAGATCAGATACCCGGCGATTATCAGTATCTTGCACACAATTGTCACGCTGATGCAAAGTGCTCCAACACTAAAGGATCATTCCACTGCACGTGTCTTACCGGATACTCTGGAGATGGCGTCACATGTGTCGGTGAGTCTTGGATCGATTGGTCATAATGAGTAAAGCAACCCCACCCAATGCAAATCAAATTGAACGTAGAGAAGGAGTAAAAGGGGAAATGGGAATTACCTATTTTGTTTTACTGGGAATCACAAAACAAATCAGGGCAATGGGATTGGGATTTCTGCAAAAACTAAGCTAGAAAATGCGATTTTAGCAGGATTTGGGCTTGGAAAGGGGATTCATACCCCACCTCAAGACCCTCGATGGCTGGTTCTAACCTGAAGATCATATATAGTTAACTAGATTTTACTCTTTTAGATATCAACGAATGTGACCCATCTGGATTATCACCCGACTATCAGCATCTCGCTCACATCTGTCATGGTGATGCCAACTGCACAAACACCAAAGGATCGTATAACTGCGGCTGTCAGGAAGGCTATGCAGGAAATGGAAGTCAATGCGATGGTAACTTGACGGGACTTTTACTTTGTACCTTGTTCGGTTGGTATATGATATCCTGACCAACTACCCTGTCAACTACTTTAATTTCGTGTCTGGAATGGGACAAGTAAATGCTGCATTTATTCTTACCGACTTATTGTGATTGTAATCGCTTTTTTCCCAAAAATAAGAGGTTGGGAGCTGTAAGCTCGTGTTTTTTATTATCAAGGTTACGGGGGAAACAGTGCAATGTTTGAACGTTTCTGTTTCCTCGCATTTTATATTGGTAGATTGTGACTGGTTTTTGGACTCCATGAGAGCTGCATAAACTCGCAACAACTTTATGTGGCACTGATTTCACGTACCTTAAAATAGCTCGACATGGCCAGGACGATTTGAGGTCATAAGTTCTTAAATCACTCGTTTTTAGGAACTTTTCTGACACTGCCCGTAACCATTTTTTTTTGTTAAGACATCGACGAGTGTGCATCTGGTACACACAACTGTCATGTTGACGCAAACTGCACCAATACAAAGGGATCATTCTACTGCACGTGTCATACGGGATACTCTGGAGACGGAGTCACTTGTGAAGGTATAATAAGTTATAATTTATTCATGTCTGCGCAAGACAATAAAACGAATCCACTGACCTTTTGTTTCAATTTTTTATAATATTTAACAGTTGAATTTTCATAGTATAGTCCATCTCTTCGGTCCTCTCGCGGATCTATTCCCTTAGCAACTTGGTGAAGCCGTACCTGAATGTTACTCCTTCATCGGAAAGCAAATAATTTATATGACATGCAATACGCAAGTGGACTTTTAATGCAATAATTCAACCGGTCGGTTGTTTACCTTTGTTGCCTGGTTCTATATACATGTATGCCGTCTTGAAACGACTACAACCTGAGAACGACATTTAATGACCTTTACCAGACCCCCAATGGAGTAATCATAATTTAAAATGTTTTCTTGACTTATTTATTCCAATGTAGATATAAGTGAGTGTAACACGGAGAGCCTCTCACAACAACACAGTGATTATGCTAATAACTGTCATCCTGATGCAAATTGCACGAACACCAAAGGGTCCTTCTATTGCACCTGTTTAAATGGATATTCCGGGAACGGCGTAACATGTGATGGTAAGAAAAATGTGTATATTACGTGTTGCACTAATATTAGTCTGATGTCAAGCGTTCTTGAAGTCCAAAGTCAACAGAGAAAGCTTTCGGGAATAACGTTCAAGGGTTCCCCATTTTACTCAGCTGTTAAAATTGGATATTTTAAATCCATAAGTTATTCCACAAAAACCAAAGAACTATCTGGCTATTGCAGTGCATTGCCAGAATTAGTTGGAGGATGACTGTAAAAAGGAATTTATTAAAACTTGCTTCCTTGCATGTAAGTAAAATGAGTAGGCAGGACTTACGATCAGAAAGCACACGGATGAATGACTTTTCACTGTTTAACATACTTTACTCTACATACTGCTTTTCACTGTTTAACATACTATTTTCCTTTAGACGTGGACGAGTGTTTTCCTGATCAGATATCTGCTAATTATCATCATCTTGCTCACAACTGTCATGCTGATGCCAACTGCACTAACACGAAAGGATCATTTTATTGCACGTGTCTTAACGGGTATTCTGGTAATGGAGTCACGTGCATGGGTACGTATATAGGAAAGGGAACAATTTTCCTCAAGTTCGAAAGAGAGGTAGTTTTGAAAGCCAATTCAATTAAGAGAACTCCTGATCCAATTTCTGATTTGATAAACTTTAGTATTTTTTTCTCTGTAATATTTGTGAAGTTGTCATTAAAGTTAAAGTAAGAACAGAAACTGCGGAGACTGTGCATGTTCAAGTACGAACCAACTAAGTAAGACAACTACATTTGTCTTAGGCGGAAAAGTCTACTCAAAGAAAAGGAGTGTTTCCTGCCAATCTGATACTTTTCTGCAGATCGTTGGTTTCTCACTTTTTTCGGAATGTGAGCTTTACAAAAGATTTAACGCTTCGATAGCGTTTAAAACTTTTTAAAGGGCATTCCCAAAATTCTTCAATGAAAGGTCTAAAAGAGAGTGGCAAATCTCTAAAGAATCTATAGATTATCAAGATATTTCTGATGTTAATAAGACTAAGTCTAAGCTGTTAAATTATGGCTAAATAATGTTTAATTAACAAAGATTATGCGACTTAAAGTTACCTTTTCTACATTTTTCTACTTGTGTCTATTCTGTTTATGCCATTCTTGATAGTTGCAGTATTTATTATTACAGTTTGATGAGGTATTAAACTACCCTTAAGATGAAATGAGTATAATTTTAACTACTTTTGTAATAAGTATATCATTATTATTCTAAGAGTAAATAGATAAATCAATGAATTAAAAGCAAGGTCAAATGTTTATGTCTAAGTCAGTATATTGATTATTTTTTCTTGTAGGAAGTAAATAAATAAATAAATGAATAAATAAATTTAAAGTAAAGATAACATCTTTGTTGTGATAATTCTCACGTTTTTATTATTTTTCTTTTAAGGAGTTAGTGTTGGCATGACTAATGGACAGGGCACACACGTCAAATAGAAATTGTAGTATTAGAGCACGTGCTTTCTAGTCAAACAAACGTCACGAACTCACCAAAAATCATTTCATTTACTTCAGACATAGAAGAATGTACAACAGACACAGACAACTGCCATGCTGATGCCAACTGTACAAACACCAAGGGATCATTCTACTGCACGTGTCATAAGGGATACTCTGGAGATGGAGTCACTTGTTACGGTAAATGCATATTCTACAGATATCCCCATGATCAATTTCTCGTTTACTAAATATTAAGTATCTCGTGCTTTTCATTTGAATGATATCAAAAGTATTACACATTTCCTTTGGTTTTGCTTTAATCTTCGTTTAAAAATCTCACAGAACCTCCTCAACCAAGCCATCGTAATAAAAACCAAAACCAATTGTGAGTCTCTCGCATACTTTTTTTTTTGCCGAACTTCGAGTTTTGATTGGGTCGTTGGATTTCTTGTGTTCATCGTGATTGACCTTAGTGGGGAGTTCCATTAACAAAAAATACTTTATTATATCATATCAGAGATACAACTTATTAATTTTACAGTGCAACTGTTCCCAAGAGTTATACACACAAAATGCCCATGTTGTCAATCTCCATCCAATATTTCAATGAGTGCTCAGGCTAGTAAATTATTGTTCAGGCAACTTGAATTGGCGAAATACTAGCGATCAATCTGAGATGGACTTGTATTTCTTTCATGTGGGTTTACCACTTGTCAACTTATTAACGCTATAAAAACGAAACTGCACGCTTGAGATCAATCCTAAATTATAAGAATTGCAATTTTCTTTACAGATATCGAGGAATGTCAAACCGAAAGTGACAATTGTCATGATGACGCAAATTGCACGAATACCAAAGGATCGTTCTACTGCACGTGTCTTACGGGATATTCTGGAGATGGAGTTACGTGTGATGGTAAGTAGTATCTTCTTTAATGCTGATTTAAAACTTTTCTCGTAGAATAGTGGCTTCAATCAAACCTTTCAAAATTCTGGCAGAGTTGTTAAAAAGGCTCTTAACGATAGATATAATCGACCCTCATTTTACAAACACTTGCCAAAATGCGCACATCCTCTTGCTGAAACCTCAATATTTCCTCTGGATAGCTAAGCTCGCGGCTTTACGTACTACTAAACCGAAAAAAAGAACAGTCAGTTTTCCTCTTCATATGAAACATCGTCCTCGTGACTTAACATTATACAAACGGTTCAGCAGATGTCTTGTCCTGAAGACCTGAAGACTTAGTACCACGGTATTTATATCGAAATACGGGAAAAGCAGAGGACTAAGGGATGCACCGTCAGTCTTAATATATTCACTTCTTTTTCATCTCAGATATCGACGAGTGTTCTCCTGGTCAGATATCTGCTAAGTATCTTCGTCTAGCCCACAACTGTCATGATGACGCCACATGTTCCAACACCAAAGGATCATTCTACTGCACTTGTCTTACAGGGTACTCAGGAGATGGTGTCACTTGTGTTGGTAATGACAGCTTATTTAATATCACGTGCCACAAGACCATTTGCTCTGCCGATAATTCCTGATTTGTTTAGAATGAAATATCATCATGAAAGCATTAAAACTAGCCGGAACTTAAGGAAATTGATACATGAAAAGAATTCGTTGCCAGAAACTGTGGAACTCAAACTTTAACTTGGTATGACTCTAAAAACTAATGAGTAACTTGGGAATCTCAAAGGAAATATATTGCTCCCTTTCCCCCTAATAAGCATGCCGGCAAATACACCACTTACTTGCCTCGACGATGCTAAGTAATAGGAATGAAATTTTAGTTTTCTATATTTCGCTTTTAGATATCAACGAATGTGACGCATCTGGATTATCAGCTGACCACCAACATCTGGCTAACAAGTGTCACGGTAATGCCAACTGCACAAACACCAAAGGATCGTACAACTGCGGCTGTCAGGAAGGTTATGCAGGAAATGGAAACCAATGCGATGGTAAGTTACAATGACATTGTTTGTTTACGCAAGTCGCGCACGTCCTGGAATGTGTTTGTATGGATAAATATATGCAAAGTTCGAAGGAAATTTAAAATTAGCGATCCCTCGTATCAATTTAACTAAAACTGATGATATTTGGAAGGATGAAAATGAAATGGAAAAAGTTAAAGTAAAGTTATAATCAATTCAGTGGTGCTGCAAGGACAAAATGTCAGGGCTGCAAAGGGATTCCGCTTTCCGGTGCGTTGTTCGCGATGCACTCGTACATCGATAGCAGGCGA